CATCTTTTATCTTCAAATCCTAGCACAGTTTCTAAGCACCTACTCCATAAATGCTCCAAGTAAATAAATTGAAAAAATTACTAAAAATAAAATAGATAGCTTTCCAAAATATGTTACGACTTTCCCCCCAACACCACCAAAAAAGGATAATATTATCCATCTTATATGGGTGTGTGATATTTAGCATAAAGTGGCCATATGAAAACTTAGCACATCAGTACTAATGTTTAATTAAAACAACATTATTTACAGTTAAAATAATCATCTTGAAGTACTCTTATTATTATTTTAGAGCTGATGGTATTGTTCAAAATACTTTGCCATGGGAGAAGACAGAGTCACTAAGGAAAAAGTCTAGAAAGAAAAGACTTGAGGCAGAACTTGGGGAATATATATATGATCTGCTTATATTTTTAAAAGACCTGTGGAGAATAAAAAATTAGTAAAAGAAATAGAGAAAAGATAGAAAATAGAAGACATCTTAATTCCACATCATGAACTATTGAATTCATCTGTAGTAACAAATCTTTCTCTGATAATCACATTGAATACTTAACATTATCAGAAGCTTTGTATTCAAATCTGTTTAAAAAAATCAATTCTGGAATTTTTTTTCTTTTTTTTTTGACAGAGTCTCGCTCTGTCACCTAGGCTGGAGTGCAGTGGCACGATCTCGGCTGACTGCAACCTCCAATTCCTGGGTTCAAGTGATTCTCCTGCCTCAGTCTCTCAAGTAACTGAGATTACAGACACCCGCTACCACGCCTGGCTAATTTTTGTATTTTTAGTATAGATGGGGTTCTACAATGTCGGACCTGGTTGGTCTTTAACTCCTGGCCTCAGGTAATCCGCCTGCCTCAGCCTCCCAAAGTGCCGGGATTACAGGTGTAAACCACCATGCCTGGCCAATTTTCTGGAGATTTTAAAACCAACACTGAATATAATAAAAAAGAAATTATAGTGACTTTCTGTGAACAAGGAAGGCTTCTCAGAGGATATTCAACTTAAGGTAAACGATAAAAATAGAAGACAGTCTGTACAGGATATAATTATGGGGGCAAAAGCAATTTTAGATGGTGAAACAGTGTAAACAAAAGTTTTAGGTAAAATATTCACTTTGGGAACAGAAAGTAGTCCAATTTATGTATATCAACAGGAAAAAGTAGAAGTTGATTTCAGAACAACATATTCAAGTCAGGGTGTGAAGAATCTCAAATGCCACAGTGAGATGTTTAAGTTTTCTGTTATAGAAAATAATGGATTTTCAACTGAACTTTTATATGATGAAAGTTATATTCTGTTAAAACCGATTTAGTAATATTATCTATTGTGTTCAGAAGGGAAAGATACTGTAAAAAGAGGTATCAGATAAATTATAAATTCCATAACTTAGGGAAAATGTTGGTTATAAAGCCCTAAGCTGGAGGAATAAGAGTGAGAATTAAAAAGACCATTGCGAAATTAGAAAATAAAAGAAAGAATTTATATGCATATGTGCATGTACACACACACAAACACACAAGTGATCATAGAAAAGAGAGGTGTCAGAGACAATTTCTACGTTAGCTTGAACGACTTTAAGAAATACAATTACATTTACACAAACATGTGGGTGTGATGTTTTGTCACTGACATTAAGCTGAACTGCCAAGACACAGCTTTATAAGACTACTGATTATCTCCTGAGAATAGCACACCTTCTCATTACTTAGCTACCAATTGCTGATGCTGGCAGTTCCTTGGTAGGAAAATAGGCAAATCAGAAAAATGGCAAGGATAGGTCAGAAGTACAAGGTTAATATATTTCAAAAACAATATTAATTGGCATTATTATGTTGAAATTGAAGAGTTCTCTCTAAAATTTAAACATGATTTTGAACAAATATGGAACCATTTTTTCACTTGCTTATACATGTATTTATTGAGTCCTTATAGTGTGCGAGGCATAAGAAAGGATGTTCAAAATGTAAATATCGTCTAAGCAATGCAAAATCCCTTGACAGATCAGAAAGAAAAAAAAAATCCACACGTAAACTTCAATGTTAGGTGTTAAATTTAGCCTTAAAGACAAAAAGACTTGTGAAAGACTTAGGATAAAAGGCATGACTTTCAGTTAGATTGAGATATTATGAGAAAAGTTTAAAAGTAAGAATATACAAGAAATGTAAGTGGAATTGTCTAGCTTGATGGGAATACAGGGTACACATAGAAGAGAAGAAATATGTAAGTAGGTATCACATTGTAAAGGCCATGAATGCCAAAATCATGGCTTTGGACTTTTTAAATAGGGAATGAGGAATTATTATAGGTGTTCAGTTACAACAACAACAACAGTAATAATAAGAAGTTAGCACTGTTCGGCAGGCACACCTTGGCCATGCTGTCAGTAAAAAAACTCCCTTGATGAGTGTCTAAACAGGTTAGGTTCCTCTACTTAACCACTAGGGGAGATACAAAGTTAAATAAATCACAGATGATGCTGTTAAAGACTTAACAATAAAGTTAATTGAGGAAACAGGCTACATATATTCTCATATTCCCACACCAGGTAAGTTTATGAAACAGACTATAGTAGATGTTTAAAAACTGCTATAAGATCTTGATAATAGCCACTATTGATTCCCACTATGGGACACTATATATGTTCATTATATAAGTTATCATCCCACTTCCTGGCACAAAACCTTTCAGTATCTTTCTATTGCTTCTAGTAGGAAAATAAGAAGTCCTGAACATAGCACGCAAGCTCTACAAGACCTGGCCTGGATCTCCTCTTACAATTTTATAACAAAAATTCCTTGCTTACACCCTGCACTCCAGCTATTCAGGTGTAGTGGCTCATTAGAACCTAACAATTTTTTTCTTGCATTAGGGACTCTGTGTTTATTTGTTTATTTTTTCTACCCTAAGTGTTTTTCCCCAGATTCCTAGAGCACCATCTTCTTCTTATCTTTCAACTTTAAATCTAAAACAACACCATTTATTTAGTTGTTGGTTTTGTTTCCCCAAATACAGCAGCATCTTGTACATAGCAGACACTCATAATTTTTGTGAAATAATAAATATATGGATCATCCTGCTTTAATTCTTATATCACTGGGTCAAAAACTATCAATAGCTTAAAACTGAAGAAGCAGAAACTTGGAAATATTAAAGTAACTCACCCAAGGTCACCAAAGCCGTAAGTGTTAGAGGACAGACTTGAAAAGGATCCCCAAGTGTTTCCACTGCCCTGCAGCATCTTCCTGTATGATAAACGGGCAACTGATTCCAGGTTTTCAGGCCTTTAAGATTATTTTGGTACTTGTTCTGGAACTTTGATGAGGGACTCAAGAAGGTAATCAAAGGAAGAAAAGTGGAGGTATATTCTGGGATCACTGAGTAGCTGAAGTCCCAAAGGAAAGGAAAGATCTATGAGCAAATAGTGGCCTTTTGATGATTCTTTTCAAATTACTTATTTTCTTTATTATTTTCTTCCTAGAATAATAATATTAAAATAGTTTGATATTCCTATGTCATTTAACCCTTAAAACATTTTAAGATAGGTGCTATTACTATTCTCTTTTACACTATGGAAATTGAAGATGTAAGAAAATTATAGAAACTACTTCACTCATACAAACAGCAAGTAAGTAGCTGAGGAGTAATTTGATTGCAGGTGTCTATGCCTATTGTTTAACCTCAATTAAATGCACCATAAATTGTCATTTATAGTTCCAGAATCCAAAATTCTAACATTTTTACCATCTCCTGCATTTTGCCAAGGGACATTTAAATTCCATTTAACAAATATTTATTGATTGACTATTATGTGGTAGGTATTCTGCTAAGTGCTAGAAAACAGAATGATGAATAAGACAGATACAGAATCCGCCTATGGTGAGCTTTTAATTTTAAGATTAAAATCTCTTCTGAGGCTGGCTACGGTGGCTCATCCCTATAGTCCCAGCACTTTGGGAGGCCGAGGCAGGCAGGTCATCTGAGGTCAGGAGTTCAAGACCAGCCTGGCCAACATGATGAAACCCCATCTCTACTAATAATACAAAAATTAGCCAGGGGTGGTGGAGCACACCTGTAATCTCAGCTACTAGGGAGGCTGAGGCAGAAGAATCACATGAATTCAGAAGGTAAAGGTTGCAGTGAGCCAAGATTGTGCCATCGTACTCCAGCTCGGGTGATAAGAGCAAAAGAAAAAAAAGAAAAAAAAAAAAACCTTTTTGAACTTCATGACTATCTTCAGTTTAAGTTAGGTAAGTTGGATATAAACTTTTCTGCTTCTCAGAATACATCCTGGAATATGTGGGGATCTTAGTATCTCCACAAAAAGATTTGGAGAATATATAGAATATAGAATAGAATAGAATAGAATAGAATAGAATAGAATAGAATAGAATAGAATAGATCTCCATTAGACCTCACTGGAAATGCCTATGTGTGGTAATGGTAAAGAAACAGGTAGATTATATGTAGATATATGTTCCTTGGGAGAGATGGGAATCAGTGAAGAGGGGATGTTATTTGATCCATTTATCAAACAAAAAGAAACACAAATTAGAAAGAAAAGCAGTGTTGTAAGGAACAAAGGAAAATATGGAGAATGGGAATGAGTTGGTATAATCAAACCTAATAAATTCTAGTAATAGTTCTGCCTATGAAAATGACATTTTATGTACTCAGGTCAAAGTATTAGAAAACAAAAGGTAGGTGAAAAAATGTAAAGTCGCAAAATGTCTTACTTGCTTTTTCACTTTGTCTTTTTAAAAAATAAATCTCAAAATAAAGTTTTACCACTGTTTCCTGTCAATGCTACCCTTCTCAAGCAAGGAAAAATAATTAAACTAAGCATGTATTCTGCATTCTAGAAAATGAATACATGACCTTTCTGCTGTTTTGCATCCGATTAGCTTTGTGTTTAGAAAGAATTTCAAATAATATGTATGTATATACTATACATTCTTTGATTAAACTAATCCAATGATATGCAACCTTATTTTCCACAGATTAACATTGACTTCAGCACCAGAGACCTCATCTCAAAGAATATTGCTGAACCAACACTCAAATGCTTTGATGAGGCTCAGAAATTAATCTATTGCCTCATGGCCAAAGATTCTTTCCCTCGATTTCTAAAGTCAGAGATTTATAAAAAACTGGTAAATAGCCAACAGGTTCCAAATCATAAAAAATGGCTCCCTTTTTTGTGAGGAAGGTAAAAGTTAATTAGTCACTGTACTTCAGGGCTACAATATTTTAAATACACAAGCACAATGCATTGTCTTCTGTTTTGTTTAGGATTTAGAAAACATTTTTTACCCATGTTTTATATATCAAGCCTGAATTTCTAACTCATTTGTTTAGAACGTATTTGCTTTACCAGCTACTTAATCTCCTACAGGGGGAGTACAAAGAAAGTTTATGGAGATACAATATAGTCTTAAACCAAAACTGAACACTCTTATTACATTATAATGTAAGAAATTGTACATATCTTCACGTGGCAGGAAAGACTTTTGAGCATCATATACACAATTTTAAATACCATTGCTTTATTCAAAAAAACTCACTTTTGTAAAAAGAGAATTTCTGAACCAAAATACAAGCCTTCATTTAACATATTTAACTGGTTTTTTCCTACAATTTCTTTCCAACTATTTCTAATAATTTGGTGGTTATAGAAACTGCTATGCCTCTCAAATTTTTTTTTTAAATCACAGAAATGTATACACATTTATATGTATGTCTTGAATGCACCATAGACTGAAGTTTTTTAAAATATATCACTTGGCTCAATTCAATGGCATCACATATGAAATGTGATGAGTTATGTATGAAAAAGGCCTCAAGGGTGGGGAATACTGATTTTCTTATATTAACAGAAATGTAAAAGAAAGTGGAAGACTAAGGAGCATGGATAAATCCTTATAAGATGAAATATATAGCAAGTCATAAAATTTAAAAATTTGTAACATTATCTACTCAATTGTGGGGAAGTATCTATTCACTCCTTCAGCACTGATACTTGTTTATAAAACCCAAACAATTTTTTAAATGCGTTTATTTTGAGATGTTCCTAAAAATTGTTTAATTCTATATGTAAATATCCTGTGATAAATATGAATAATTTCATTTCAATATGAGAAGCTGTAAGGATTCAACAGATCTCCCATGTTTCCATTTTCTTTGCACAGATTTATTTATCTGTATTGGTATTTCTACTTTTAGATTGTTTGAACATTAAAAAATGGAGGAAAAATAGCATGGCTTATTTTATGTTTTCACAAACTACTCATTTGATACACAAAATTTTGTCTCTCCTTCGTCATGAAAAATAAACATTTAAACATATGCAAATGGAATATTCCCTGTACATTTGCAAATTCTTTAAAAGAAGACATAAATAGAAATTGGTTGTGAAGCATTCAATGTGCCTTAAGGTGCACTTAGTGGAAAATAGCTACACTTTTTAACATTTATTCTAGAGATTCCAACCTTAATTTACTCTCTATTTAAATGGGAAACTTTAAAATTATTCTCAGAGAAGAAATAGACTTTTGAGGATAAAAGGAATCTTAGAAATTAAAAGCACATTCCCACTTTTAGATGTGAAAAGAAAAAAATCTCAGTTATTTCTTCGGATCATAAGGCTGGTAAGTGACCAAGCTGGTCAGAGCAGTGGTTTTCCCACGTGGGCTCCCTGCTCTGACAGAAGAGTGTAGTCCTCTCTACAATTTAGAACTGTTCTGAGGTCTGGAATCTAAATTCCAACTAATCCTCAAATACCCAGACATGATCTCTTTCATCAGGTATTTCAATTTTCTCTTTACAGTCAGTTTGCAACTTCTTTCTCGTTACCATACAGCAAGACTTTATGTTTAATGATTGCCTCTCAAGTTTTCTCTAATGATGTGAAAGAAGACACAAATCAAACTTTCACTACCTAGAAACCACGGTGCTTGATAGTACCTAAAAAAATACGGTTGGTGTCAAAATGGTTTGTTGAAAATTGGATGTTAAATGACCTCTAATAGAATCCCAGCCAAAGACCCACAATAACAACACCTACCTCCTCAACTCACTCCCACCCTAAGTGACAATTCTAGGTAGTCTGATTAAATAAAACAACTACAGGTTTTTGAATACTTATTAGTGAGGATTTTTAATAAAATATCAGATGTACATCTTAAACACGTGGTCTCTTTCACGCCATATGTTATTTTATTTCATCAGTTACCATTGATGAGTAATTTTATGGATGAAATTTTAAGTAAAAAGGATTAATTTGCAAGAAATGAATAACAACATTAACATTCCTTAAACATGTATTTAAATATTCAATGATTGTTTAATGTCATTTCCTAAAAATGTTTCCATCAACTTTAAGAAATGAGGTGCTAACATTAAAAACTAAGGTAAGCAGTAAAACATTAATATGATTACAAGATATTTAAATTGAAATGACCCTCTAAGATTTTTCCAAGCACAGTGCTTTCCACCTCCTGAAAGTTTCCACAGAATGTGTTTTAATGAAATTTCTGCTCGCCCTCCACTAGTCAGACCTAAAGAAGTAAAATGGTATATTTCTAAGATGATCTTATCTTTTTAACAATGAATTATGGAACTACAATCCATGAATTTATCTAAAATCCTTTTGAATTTATTTATATTTCAAGTATTAATAATTCCATCAATAGTGATTCTTTTAAATATAGTTTCTTACATTTGCCTAGAAAGGATCTATTTCTGCCTCAAGATATAATCAACAATTTTTTTTCTAATGCTATATTGTAAAAATCTAAAATCTTGAGGGCATTACAAACATAATCTAGTCTCCAACTTTCCCTTCCCAAATTTGCTTTTATTTTGGGGAGTTTTCTTCGGTCTGTCTATATGTGGAATTCATTCTAACCACTTTCATTGTTTTAGTTACTTTGCTCTACAATTTTTAAAATTCTGTGTGGTATAGCAACTATGTGTACTCAGGATATTGTTGATGAAAACACATATTGATATAATAAAAGAAGAGAAAAAAGTGTTTTCAGTTTCTTTTGCAATATCTTTTCTAATGAAGCTTAGTATCAACCTGGCCTTTTATACCATAGTAGCATTCTGGGCCATAATTTTGGAAAATGGTCTAAATTTCTTTCCTGAAATTTCAAGGAAAGTTTACGTTCATTATCCTGGACTTGAAATTTAGATTAAACTTTCTTTTCTTTGTCTATATGGAAGATAATTAGCCAATATTCCCAATCATGTACGCTATGCCTAACATAAATAAATAATTGTGGGAAAACTTAAGAAATGTATTCTAAACACAGAAAATTCTCCTTAAAAACAAAACCAGGCAATTTGGTCTCAGTATTGCTACTCTCTACATTTATTTCCTATGTAAAAATTATATCTTAGTTTTCACTCACAAAATCCCTATATAACAGTTTCACCCCAATTATATCAAATGTGGGCCTGATTTGCTTCCCAACCACATGGCCAGGTAATTTATTTCATGGTGATGCCAACTAATTTAAAGTGAACTCATTTCATAACTGTGAAAAAGGTGGGATGTTGTCACAGCAGTAATCAATTATTATATGAAGAGTCACACAGTCTAGTTTCCTCTTATTGTTTTGTCAGATTTGCCACTGCATTTTAATGGGCAATGATTAGGAATGAATATTAAGTGATAACTTATTTACCTCGGCTATGCCATTTTGGAGAAATTTTTGTATGTTCTATATAAATACTACTTATAGAGTGTGTTGAAATATATAATGTCTATGTATAATTAATACTAATAAAGGAACATAGTATGCTTCCAAACATAACAGAAAGTGGGAAAATAACATTTACTTAAAAATGCATTTTTTTAAAGAAATCACATTAGCCTTTCTTTTTCTTTTAAGAAGCAAAAACAGGGCTAGATATCTGGAAAAGAAAAGAAAAAAAAATATATATATATATATATATGTCCAATGAAGTTTAATCAGCTTATTGGGTAGCCATTGAGTATTTATGATTTGTGTTATATCTAGAATAAATTCAGCTATGAATATTTCTAAGAAACAAAAATTGCTTTATTCAATGTACATGGTTTTCTTGGATGATGATTGTTTAATTATTCCTGAAAGTTTCACATAAAACATAATTTCATTTATTTCTGTTTTCACAAATAAGGATTTTAAAGCAATTAATTCCTTATGAATATGATTTGAGTTCTTTGTCCTAATACATTTATTTCTTTTGTGCATTTAGGAAAATAAGCTGTAATATTTAGATCATTAATTTTGTAAACAATGATGGCTTAGAGATAAAATATAATAAATAGCTGGCTCTTTTTAAAAACTAATAAGAAAAAAGTTAAATTTTTTTTAACTTGGATATATTAAATATTCTTGCATTTACTTCTTATAGATTTTAATTAAAATATCTTATTTTTATAGTGTCAGTTTTAGGTTTAAAGAAGTAAATATTTTGATCGTGATACCTTTAAATTGTTGTTTTTATTGTGTGTTTCAAATATATCACATTTTCCCCAAAGATATAATCATGAATTCAAAATTATAAGTTTTTTCTTACATATTATGAGGAAAAGACAAAGAAAATGCCTATTATTTAGCAGAAAAAAATAAATTTATTAATCACTCAAAGTAATGTCTAATATCTGAATATGAATCTTTTATGACAACATAACATAATCCATGTAAAAGACCAAGAACACTGTAAGAGAGATTTAAACTGTTGGAGTTATGATTGACCTGCTAAAAATTTTCTTTTAAATTATTGTTTGCTGGCCAGTGATTCTCTAGATTCCTTCGCAGGTTTGTTTGTTTGTTTTTAACCTAGAAGCAGTCTTTTAAAAGAGTAAATAAACCCTAACACTAGAATGTTAAAGATTGATTGAAATTTCAATCCATGAGCCTTAACTGTGTTTTAAACTAAATAATACAGAAACTACATCTGGGAAAATGGCTTTTAAGTGGTAGAAGCCAGTGGAAATTAAATAGCATTATAGTACCTTAAAGTAAATGTAGAACTTTGTTGAAAAATCTAAGGTTACATGTATATATGAATATACACATATATTTACTTAATGAACTCTGTTTCTGTTTAAATTTTTGTTTTTTGAAAGTGTTAATGGCATATATCACCTGGCTATTTTTAAGTCTATACAAGTTGTGTTTCATAATATCTCCATTTCAAAAAGGAAATGAAAACAGCATTAATCAAATCAGAAGATCTATTTTCTAAATCAATAACTTTGAAAAAAGAGACTAAATATAAGTAAAACATACTTCTTTTCCACAATTAAAATGCAGTCATTAGCCCTGACATGTGAATGGACATTTCTTAACTCAAGTTTGAAGGACTATGACTATAAATGCCTAAGCACTCAATAACTACTATCTGACTAGTTGAGTTGTAAGAATTTCTCATTGAATTAACACTTCTGACGTAGGCAATGTGGAAAGGCAAAAAAAGATTTTTAAAAGTCTTTCAAAAGTGCACAGTAAGCTAAAAAGACAGCATTTGGATAACAGCTCACAGTTCAACGTATTTTCACAGAAGAAAAGTAATTCTATTTTCACGTAAAATATGCAACTAAACTACAGCATAAATGTTAATTGCAGGATAGTGTACTTGGATATAAATATTGGTAATTCATATCACTATATATCAATGTATAATTGTAAAGACAGGGACTAGTTAAACCAGAGTCAACAGAGACTTCACAAAGAGAAACTGTAAATTGATGTGTGAAAAAATGCAAAGAAGAGAAGGAGAATTCTTCTCATGGGCAAAGCATGCAAAAAGCATATGAAACCCCAGTCTAGTTGTGGAGTCAGTGCTCAGAATTTTACAGTAGTTGCCTGAATTCTTTACTTGAGAAAGGAAAAGAGTTCAGCTATTTAGAGCAAAAGGTACACCTGCTCCCCCGTGTCTTCCGAATGCCTCACTAAATGCACCCTGGATCTTTGGGTTGATTAAGGAGAGAAGAATCTCCCTGGGAATGGGCTTTTAAACTAATTAACCCCAATCAGCAACATTGTCTACTCAATTATTTATGTCTCATTCATCACTGGAACCTATTTATGAAATGCGAACAAATTTTATTTAAAAAACATTTATTTTGAAATGTTTCTAAAATTGTTTCTTTCTTTAAATAAATATCCTTTGATAAATAGGAAAAAATTTCATGTCAATAGGAGAAGCTGTGAAGATTCAGCAGATCTTCCATGTTTCCATTTTATTTCTACAGATTTATCGGTATTGATATTTCCACTTTGATATTGTTTGAACAATGAAAAATTGAGGCAAAATAGCATGATTTATTTTATGTTTCCAAAACTATCCATTTGATAGGCAAACTTTTGCTTTATATGCAGCACATGTGTTTTCAAAATTA